AAAAAGAATAATGAAGAATACTTGAATCATCTCAAAACGTGGATGAATTTAGAGGACGTTATGCTAAGTAAAATAAGTCAATCACAGGACAAATATTTTATGAGCCCACTATTGTAAAAAGTTAAGGAAAATTTATTCAGGAAAGGAAACACGCTTTGTTGGTTACCAGGAATGCGAGGGAAAATCTTGGGCTATTTGTTGTTGTTGTTATGTGCCATCGAGTTGAACCCGAGTCATACTGACCCCTCCTTGGGTTTCCGAGGCGGTATCACTATGGAAGTAGATTGCCCAACCTTCCTTCTGAGGAGTAGCTGGTGGGTTTGAACCACCTGCCTTTTGGTTAGCAGTCAAGTGCCTTAGGCACTATGCTACCAGAGCTTAAAAAAAAAAAAAAAAGTAATTTTAAAAGAAAATTCAGAGCTAGAAAAGAATTTTGAAGAACATTAATATTTAAGCAATATGAGAGAGAAGCTCCCAGATAGAAAACAAGTAATCAACATCTTAGGAAGATAATGAGATGTGTTGTCAGAGAAGCAAAGGAAGAGAGAATTTTAACAACAAAAGGGTAGTCAATAGCATCCATTACTGAGGAAAGTAAAAGATGATGGATGTTCATTATATCCAGCAATGGTTAAGGGTACAGAAAATAGTGAACACAGTTGGTCTGAGACTACAATCCTTAGAAAGGCTGTATATCCATGTCCAGGTATATAGTAGAGTTAACAAGGGACAAGGTTGTGATGACTTCTTGGCCACACCTTGCTACCCGAAGAGAGCAAGCAGATGGACTGTGGGCTTGGGACTAGAGGGCATCAAGCTCAATTGGCAGAACATACTACACAAAAATATTGTTCCACAACCTACTTTGGTGAGCAGCAACTGGGATCTTAAAAGTTGCACGTGGCCATCTATATGCAATGATGAGTCTCTCCTTGTCCAGACCAAAGAATAATGAAGAAAAACAAAGACACATGGAAACAATCAGTCCAAGGAACTGGTAGACCATGCAGTCCTCAGCCTATATGACCATGAGACCAGAAGAACTAGATGGTTCCCAGCTACTACTGCCAACCACTCGGCGGGGGATCTGTATAAGAGATCCTGGATAGAGTAGGGGAACAATGTGGAACAAAACTCAAAATTATAAAAAAAAAAAAAAAAAAAAGGACCAGGTATGCTGGTATGATAGAGCCTGATGAAACCCCTGAGACTATGGCTCCTACCTGCTCTTCAGATCTGGAATTGAACTCACCGCATGTGGCTTCCAGCCAAATAAAAGACAGGCCTATGGGATGAACATCTACATCAGGTAGATACACTCCTTGGAGAGATCAGTCATGGGAGAACAAAAGGGCAGTGTATGCACAGGGAAACAGCTTGGCGAGGCAAGAGTACAAGGGAGAGGAGGACAAAGGGAAGAGGTGACTATGGGGAGGAAGTGGGAAGAGAGTTGTTACACTGTAGGAATTTGCAGTCAATGTATTGAGACAAAATGTGTATGAACTGCTGTATGGAAAATGAATTTGCTCTGTAAACTTTTGCCCAAATCACAGTAAAAATTAAAAAAAAAAAAAAGCTCCTTTCATGGTTAGCCCTTGGCTGTTGTCTAAAATCTCGATTTTAGTACAGTTCTCACCACCATAAATGATTAAGAGTGGTTTGCTGTACCTAAACTGTTTTTGCAAACAATATGAACTATGTTAAACACTTGTTTTCCTTCTATAACTCTGGAATTTTGATATATGCTAGACAGAGGTGCTTATGTGACAAGCCCCAATAAATACCCTTGAAACTGAGTCACTAACGAGCTCCCAAGTACGTAATGCTTCACATGTTATAATTTGTTGTTGAGATGCGAATTAAGCACATCCTACATGACTCCAGAGGAGCTCTGGTGGCACCATGGTTAAAGCAATGGGCTGCTAACCAAAAGGTCAGCAGTTCAGACCCACCAGCCACTCTGCTGGAGAAGGATGAGGCAATCTGCTTCTGTAAAGATTTATAGCCTTGGAAACCCTATGGGGCAGTTTTAGTCTGTCTTGTAGGGTCACTATGAGTCAGAATCAATTCAATGGCAGTGGATTTGCTTTTTGAGTTTTCTCTGACCCATTGGGTGAGGATTCTTGGAAATTTACTCTTGATTTCTTCCAGACTTTGCCCCAAGAGCCTTTTCCCTTACTTGATTTTGCTTTGTATCCTTCTGCTGCAATAGCTCACATCTGTGAATACAACTATATGTGGAGTCCTGTGAATTTTATTCTCAAATCATCAAACTTGGGAGTGGCCTTGGGAATCTCCAACACAGTTAAAGGAAGGAAGCAGAAATAGAACATAAAGTTAACAGATGTTTATTTCTTGTTTGTTTGTTATTTATTTAAAGTAGACAAGTTTTAGCAAGTTTATATGCCAAAAGCATGAAATCCATGGAGTAAAAGAAACGAAAGATAATTTATACAGTAAGGACCCCAAGAACTTTGTTCTGCCATGAAAATGCCCTAGATGATATGTGTATGAATGATACACATTTTTATTGTAACATTCTTAATGAAGAATAAGATCTTCCTAAGAAGCAACACTCTACATGAACGATAAAACCCAAAACCAAACTCACTGCTGTCAAGCGGATTCTGACTCATAGCGATCCCACAGGACAGAGTAGGACTGCCCCACAGGGTTTCTAAGGCTGTAAATCTTTACAGAAGCAGACTGCTACATCTTTCTTCCATGAAATGGCTGGTAGGTTCAAATTACCAACCTTTTGTTGGCAGCTGAGTGCTTTAATCACTGTGCCACCAGGCTCCAGCAATAAACACTTCAAACATGATAAAAGAAAAAAACTCTTCAGATTTTTAAATCACTGGGAACAATAAAACAGGAATTATTAAGGAATCTAAATTGTCATCTTGAGGGGAAAAAAATTAATTCAAGAACCATCCAAAACTCTTAATATTTTTTCAAAGGAAATACCAGCAGAATCATATCCTCTGTACTCCAGTCTCTGAAGGCCTTTGATTAGGGTCTCCAAGATTTCTCGTCTCGTCCGAGGAACATGGTAGTTTAAGTAAGCAAATATACCTGCAAATAAACAAATACTTAATGGAAAATTCTGATTAAACTATGAAAACACAATCTTCATTGACATAATTAGGTCCAAGTACAAAAACTATGCAGCTGAATTCCACCACTAAAAAAGAAAGAAATCCTCACTTCAAATTGTTTAAAAGCCATGAGCTTTCTTTCAAAGAAACATAAAACTGACCTCTAATCTTCCATGCCTGCTATTTAGTCAAGTTAAATTACTGAAAAATTAACCAATCAACAAATTTATGGTTTATGTCCTAGGAACTCAGCAGTATGTTTAAAGGACAATATTTTCTGAAATAAAGGAGCCTAGGTGGTGTGAGCAGTTTTCAAATGGAAGGCCTGGCAAGCTATTTCTGTTAAGATTACGGCCAACAAAACCCCATGGAGCAGTTATACTCTGTAACACATCGGGTCACCACAAATTAGGGGTCAATTCAAAGGTCTGTTGTTGTTGTTGTTGTTATGTGCCATCGAATCGGACCCAACTCATAGCAACCCCTCCTTGGGTTTCCGAGACAGTATCACTACAGAATTAGATTGCCCCATCGTAGCTAACATCATTTTCTGAAACATATTTTACGTAACCTAAGGGCCCTACAAAACTATACAAATACAGTAACTTTTTTTACTTCCAATGACCGATAAAACCCAAAACCAGTAACCTTTAGGAATAAATAACTTATAAATAGCAATTTTTAATTTTCAAACCCTAATAATTTTAATAGGAAAAAAAATTACTAAAAAGAT